GTATTTAGCTGGGATGAAAGATCTTAATACCTAGGACTAAGTCTCCCCATCATAATTGTACACCTTCATTGCATGGGATTCTGGTTTTCCACAAATGTTGGATTCAGATGTTAACTGGATATGCTAAAACTGTAAATAATAAAATGAAATGTAATGGGGACAAGCTAGAAGCATTTCCAATAAGATCAGGGGTGAAACAAGGATGTCCGTTATCACCACTGTTGTTCAATATCGTACTGGAAACGTTAGCTTTAGCAATAAGAGAAGAAAAAGACATTGAAGGTATTAGAATAGGCAAAGAAGAAACAAAACTATTACTCTTTGCAGATGACATGATGATATACTTAGAGAATCCTAGAGAATCAAGTAAAAAAATTACTTGAAATAATAAACAACTTTAGCAAAGTTGCAGGCTATAAAATAAACCCACATAAATCATTGGCATTTCTATATATTACCAACAAAGCCCAACAGCAAGAGATAGAAAGAGAAATTTCATTTACACTTATTGTAGACATTATAAAATATTTAGGAGTCTACCTCCAGAAACAAACCCAGGAACTCTATGAACACAATTACAAATCACTTTTCACACAAATAAAGTCAGATCTAAATAACTGGAAAAACATCAGTTGCTCATGGGTAGGCCGAGCTAATATAAAAAAAATGACAATTTTACCTAAGCTAATTTACTTACTCAGTGCCATACCAATCAAACTACCAAAAAATTATTTTATAGAGTTAGAAAAAATAATAACAAGATTCATTTGGAAGAATAAAAGGTCCAGAACATCAAGGGAACTAATGAAAAGAAATGCAGGAGAAGGTGGCCTAGACATTCCAGATCTTAATTTGTATTATAAAGCTGCAATTATCAAAACTGCTTGGTACTGGCTAAGAAATAGAGTGGCAGATCAGTGGAATAGGTTAAATACGCACGACACAGTAGTCAATGATTATAGTAATCTATTATTTGACATACCCAAGACCACAGCTAGAACACACTCTTTGAAAAAAACTGCTGGGAAAACTGGAAAAGAGTATGGCAGAAACTAGGCATTGATCAAAATCTCACACCATATACCAAAATAAAGTCAAAACGAGTTCAGGATTTAGACATAAAAACTGATACTATAAGCAAACGGGGAGAGCAAGGAACAGTTTACCTATCAGATCTATGGAGAACAGAAGAATTCATGACCAAACAAGAGACAGAGAACATTACGAAAAGCAAAATGGATAACTTTGATTACATTAAATTGAAAAGGTTTTGCACAAACAAAGCCAACGCAACTAAGATTAGAAGGAAGGTAGAAAATTGGGAAAGAATTTTTACAACCAGTGTCTCTGATAAGGGCCTCATTTCTAAAATATATAGAGAATTAAGTCAAATTTATAAGAATACAAATCATTCCCCAATTGATAAATGGTCAAAGGATATGAACAGGCAGTTCTCAAATGAAGAAATTAAAGCCATCTATAGTCATATGAAAAAATGCTCTAAATCACTATTGATTAGAGAAATGCAAATCAAAACAACTCTGAGGGACCACATCACACCTATCAGATTGGTCAAGATGACAAAACAAGAAAATGATAAATGTTGGAGAAGATGTGGGAAAATTGGAACACTAATGCATTGTTGGTAAAGTTGTGAAATGATACAACCATTTTGGAGAGCAATTTGGAACTATGCCCAAAGGGCTATAAAAATGTGCATACCCTTTGACCCAGCAATAGCACTTCTAGGGCTATATCCCAAAGATATCATACAAATGGGAAAAGGACCTACATGTACAAAAATATTCATAGCAGCTCTTTTTTGTGGTGGCAAAGAACTGGAAATTGAGAGGGTGCCCATCAATTGGGAAATGGCTGAGTAAGTCGTGGTATAGGAATGTGATAGAATACTATTGTGCTATAAGAAATGATGAACAGGCTGACTTCAGAAAAACCTGGAAAGATTTGTATGGTCTGATGTGGAGTGAAGTGAGCAGAACCAACAGCCACGTTGTGCGATGACTAATATTGATAAACTTAACCCTTCCCGACAATACAAGGATTTAAGACATCTCCAAAGACCTCGTGATGGAAAATGCTATCCACAAAGAAGAAAGAACTATGAAATTTGAATGCAGATCAAAGTATACTATTTGCTATTTTTTTTCTTTGCTGTTGAGTTTGTTTCCTCTTTCTGGTGGTTCCTCCTATTGGTTCTAATTCTTACAACATCACTAATGTGAAAATATATTTAATAGGAATGTATATGTATAGCCTACATCAGATTGTGCGCTGTTTTGGGGAGGGTGGTGGGGAGGAAGTGGGAGAAAAATTTTAAGCTCAAAAGCATATGGAAGTGATTGTTGATAAATCAAAATAAATTAATAAAAAAAAATAAAATGAAGATAATTTTTAACAACCATGTCTGGCAGGGTGGGGGTGAAAGATATCTCTTCTCTAGTAATGGTGACAAAGGAGGTAAGAATACTTGCTTAATGGAATAAGGTTGGAATATTCATCTTTAATAACACCATGTGGCCAGGGAAGAATGTGGATGATATCTGGAGATTAATAAAAGTCTACGGTGAGTGGAATAAAGTAGTTACACCAATTTTTGTAGCTTTTCCTGATCTTTCCAGTATGGTTCAATGAACCAGATAGTTCAGGCCTCAGGTGAGTTTTATGGAATTATTGATTTTGCCAGTGCTGTCTTTTCCATAGCACTCAGAAGGCCGTTCAAAAATAGTAAAACAAAATGGGCTGCCTCCCTACTGCCAGGCCAATCCTTTTATATTTCAAGCCACCAGGCCTGAAAAGCATCAGATGGGGCTAAGTCAAGGACAGGAAAGAAGACAGTCTGTGACCCTAGGAAAACAGTCCAAACACACCCTACAGATCAGGACAGGTAAGAAGAGAGATCTGGATTGACTCTCCTAGGACTAAGAGTCTTTATTAGTTGCTCAGTAATGGCAACAGAAAAAAGACCCTAGTAGCCACTTCTTTCCACTTTCATAATAAACACTGTGGATTGATCTGTTTTTGTATGTTGAAGGCTCCTCTGCTACCCAGTCCTCCCTCTAATCAAGGAATAGAGAATAAAGATGTTGAGTGTTGTCACGGTGACTTAATAGTTAAAAAATACATTTTAGAAGGACTCAGATATATTCTCTTCTACCATCCCTTGCCCATATCAGCTACCATATAGTTTACTACCCCTATACACCAAAAGGAGGTACAAAGTCATTATTCTTATTACTACACTTAATAAATTATTAGAGGACCAGATAAGAGAATAGAAAAGAACCTTTGAGATTTAGTCATTTGGACTATTTTACATGATCACATCAGCCTGTAGTCAGAGGACCTGGGTTCCAATCTCAGCATTGCTATCTATTGCCTCTATGACCTTGGGCAAATTATTTCACTTCCACAGGCCTCCATTTCCTTATCTGTAAAGCTTGCTGGAGATGTCCTAGTTAATCTCTACGGTTCTTTACAACCACAAATTTTCAATCCCATTGTATTTTACTCATTATTCCAACGTACAACCCAAATTATTACTTTTCCCCTCCCCCAAAGTGATTTTTCTTTGTGGGAAGTCACTCTCACCAATGCAATTGGTGAAAACATATAAATAACCCATTCATCCTTTGTTAAACATTTTCTATGTGCCAGGCAGTATACTAGGTACTGGGAATACAAAACAAAACAAAATAGTTCTTGTCTTCAAGGAGCTTACATTTTATGACAGGAAGGAATGACATACGTATATGTGTATGTATGGATATTGTACATATTCATACACATATACTATGTGCGTACATGTATGTGTACATATATATTAAAATTTTTCAACTTCACTAAGACTTTTAGGACATCATACATATGAACTCTAATATGTATGTATATAACTACACCTACACCTATGTTATCACACTATATACACGCATATGTATGTATATGTATACGTGTAATTATATAGGTGTAGGTATACACACACAAAGTAAATATTTAGCAATTTGGGGGTGGGCAGCAATAGCATTTGGGGGAGGGTGGAATCTAGAAAGGCCTAATGAAGAAGGTAGTATTTGACTAGAGCCTATGGATTTTGATAAGTGAAAAAGGAGGGCGTGCCCTCCAAGCATTGGGAATGGCCTATGCAAACGCATAGGCCAGTTTGACTGCCACCATAGAATGTGTTAAACATCCCTCCAACTACTTGTCTTGCCTAATATATTTTTGTTGAAATTCTTCAGGAATTTCTCACCTTCCCAACCTCCCTGGCAGGAGGACTCTAGGCTGGCTTTCCTTCCAGGCCTCAAAAGTCCTTGCAGTGCACAATAAAAGGGTGACTAACCATTGCTTTCTTTCGGCCCCTCTTGGTGCAACCATTTTGCAATTGACATTGGAGGCCAGGCATCAAAAAAGATGCCCTGCTCTATGAAGCCAAGGGTCTCTGGGTTAGCCCGGGGTGGTGGAGGAAGGTCAGGTCGAGAGTGCATGCGCCCAATGCCGGACGAGTAAACTGTGGAATGACACAGAGCCATCATAAAAGCCAGTAGCCTCCCGCCCCTAGCACCAGACCCTTGCCCTCGTACCTGTCCCCTTCTAATTTGACGGGGAAGTTCTCAATCACTAATCCCCACTCCAAATCGCTCGCTAAACCCTGAAGCTTTGCATCTCGGGAACTGTAGTTCTGATCACCGCCCAGGGCTCCGGGTCCGCTTTTCCAGCTCCTGGGGATGAGCTCCATTGCCTAGGCCGGTCAGCACCCAGAGCTCACTCTGGAGAGGGGGGAAGGGGTGGTGCGAACGCGCCCTCAGAGGGTGGATTCTGGGGGCGTTGGTGGGGGGGGGGGGGGGGAGGGAGACTACATTTCCCAGACTGCCCGGCTCGTGCAGGGAGTCGGCTCCTCCAGTTTGCGTGAGGGCTGCAGGTTGATCTTGGTTGCAGATGAGCGCAGAATTTATAAGCGAGAGCAAGTGAAGTGGGGGGGGAGGGTGGGGAGTCCTGGGCAGAAGAAGTACCCAGGCCAGGCGAATTATGCATACGTTAGGCAAACACTGAGAGAATGGCTGTGGAAGGTAAGAGACATCTAAGTCCTATTTCCTGCAGCAGCAGCAGCAGCTGCATCGACACGCGCACCCCAGTGCACCCACTGATGAGGATTGAGGGGATCGTAGGGGGGAAGGGAGAGGGATGAGATGGGAAGGAAGGTGAGGGGGAGGGAATGTAGTTCTGCCGCCTCCTGCCCCTCACCTGGGCCACCCAGGAGAAGACATTGGGTTATCACCAGGGAGAGGTGGCCCAGAGGGGCGATGGTGTGCAAAGGAATTGAGGTCTGGAGGTGGGGAGAGGATAAAAATCCCATTATGCAAATTGTTACACCGGGAATTGGAGGGAAGCTTAGCTACCCGGCCCCAAGTGCCAGCCCCCACACTGATCTCCTCGGCCCTCTCCAGCCTCCCCGGGCCGGCCAGTGGGTGGGTGAGGAGCCCTTTTCGTGCCCCCACGTGGGGAGGGGGACCCTTGCCAGGTGCGTCATCCCCCCACTGCTCGGGATCTCGGATTGCGATTGGGCTGGAAACCCCTCCCTCCGTCGCTGGACTCGGAGCTGGGCACGCAGAAGCAGCCGCGGCCCCTGTGCCGGGGTGGAGAGGTGTCACTACACCTGTCTCCTTGCTCCCGCAGCCGCACTCGGCCGCTGGGGAAAGTTTTGTGGACGGGAATCCGTGCGGGCTGTGGGGCTAGGGGGAACCTACCCGAATCCCTTCAGAGTGGTGGCGAGGTGGGGATGGTTGCGATTCTATCTCTTTTTCCTTTTGGCATTTGGATCTCCTGTACCCGGTTTCCGAGTTTTGTTTGGCAATTATATCTGTTAATTACAGCATCCACTGAGCTTCCTGGTTGGAGGCAAGGTTGGGGATGGGAACATCCTGGGGTACAATTAGGGTACAAGTCCTGGGGTCATAGGAGCATGGATTTAGAGTATAAAACCCCTTAGAGGGTATCCAGTACAGATGAGAAAACTAAGGCCTTGGAGTGGGACTTGGCCAAGGTCTCAAAACTAGTAAGTGGCAGTCAGTTTTCGAACTTAGGTCCTAGTACTTTCAGGTCTTTTGACTCCAGATCAGTAAAATTCCCATAACAGATACTTATTTTATAAAAATTAGGGTTTAATTGTGAAACCCACTAATATTTATAATGTCAAATTGTATGATGAGTCAAACCAGTCAGGAAATGATTGAGCCACAATGACTAAAGGTGGCATTCACATTCTCATTTATAGAGAATTACTTATGGTATAGAAGGGGCCGCACTGATCCAAAGCCTTTCCCAGGCATCCAGGGCAAGAGAGAAGGCAACACCCCAGCAGCAGAACTGGGCTCAATGCCATCGGGAAATGAGTCTATTCCTTGTGGGCAGGAGACAAGAATCAGCCTCTGAGGGCCTCTTTCTTTTGGAGTAGAAAGGAAGAATGACTCTCCAATTTAAACATCAACCTTGTCCTCCTACTAGTTCTTATTCTCAGTAGCCAGGTGCTTACCTCCTGCTTGTCAACCATTTGAGCAGGAAACATTTATTTGCCACTTAATATCTATCTGTTGTCACCAACTAGTACATTAATGTACATTTTCACATACACCTGTGTATCTATAGCTCAATCATTCAATTAATTAACATTTATTAAGTGCCTACCATGTGTTAGGCATTGTGCTAAGCACTGGGCATACAAAGAAACAAAAGACAGTCCCTGCCCTCGAGGAGCTTACAATCTAATGGGTGAGACTATATGAAAACAAGTATATACAAAGCAAGCTATGTTCGGGATAAATAGGAAATAATTAACAGAGGGAAGACACTTGAACTAAGAAGGAATGGAAAAGCCTTCCAGGAAAAGAAGGGATTTTAGTTGGGCCTTAAAGGAAACCAGGGAGGTCAGTAGGCAGAGTGGAGGAGGGAGAGCATTCCAGGAATAGGGGACAGCTGGAGAAACTCTAGGTACTGAGAACATTTCAAACGAGGACCCAGCCTAGTTGACTTCATAAAGGCTTGTTCTCCTGAAGATTGGACAGTATGGGATGCAAAGCCATTCAAATGAGGTGTAATTCTCTCAGTTTCGATTGGTGTTAGTTGTTGGAATAGGATGAAGATTGGATTTATTTGGTTTAGGATTTCTCTGTTAGAGGGAATTCTTGGATGAGGAAACTCCCTCCACCAGTGAAGGTTGACACCTTCTATTCCATTTCTATTCTTAGAGTTATCTAGAACATTGATAAATTAAGTGACTTGCTTAGGATCACATGGTCAGTTATGTGTCAAAAGTAGAACTCGAACCCACTACTTCTTGGTTTTGAGACATCAGGTCTCTACTACTTGCTCTGTGCATATGAGAAAGAGAGAGGATCATAGGAATGTAGATGTAAACGCAGAAGGAACCTAAGAAGCCATGTAGTCCACTGATGTCAGACTCAAATAGAAACAGATCCCTGCAGGGACATTTTGACTTAGAAAACCACAAATTAATCTTATGTTGAATTTTTATGTATTGTGTTAAACATTTCGCAGTTGCATTTTAATCTGGTTCTAGCTTCACCTGCTCATTTTGCAGACAGAGAACTCAAGCTGAAGAAGGTTAAGTGACTTGTGCAAGGTCACACAGGTCATTAATGGAATTTGATCTGAGGCCCTCTGACTCCAATGTTAGTACCCTTTCTCACAATGAAGTTCTCCTCTTGGCTTACAAGTCGTGTTGAATACTCAAAGACTGCCTGTGCCATTCTACCAGGCTGGCAAATCTAGTATAGGCCTGGTAACACCATTCTGTCTCAGTTTGGAGAGGCTCATTGTCAGATTGGCCAAAGGGTGAAGAAATATGGAGCCATAGTTATTATTAGAGACTGTCAGCTAAGTCATTAAAGAGGTTTCTGGGTTTGTAAAGGGAATATCCACATTGTCAACAGAGATCCTTGACATATTGAAGCCCGTTTGTTTGTGTCTGTGCTTATATGTGTGTGTATGTGTCTCTGTGTATATATATATGTACATATACATATGTAGTGTACATATTAACATATTACATAGTATGTATGTAGAATTGGTCATTCCCTTCTTATAGTTTTCTCCTCCTTTTGAAGCAAGATTTTACCCCAACAAGAGGTCAGACCAAAGCACACTTAAAAGGAAGTAGGAGGGCTTTTTGAAAGGAGCCAGTAAGAATTTCAGTTGCTTTCATCTGTGTAACTGATCACCCAAATTGTATTTTGGGGTTTCTGAAGTTCTCCATTTCACTCACATGGCATTGGAGAGACTTGAAGCAAAGAAAGGAAAGAGTTAAACCGGTTGTTCCCCTTTAGAGGAATTGTTTCTCTTTTTAACGTTTTGTTCTGGTTTTCTAGAAGAGACAGCAGAGGATTGACAGTATCTGGAAGATCTGGGTTCTGCCTCAGCCACATTTGCTGTGTTACCCAGGGTAAATCCTTTAACCCCCCAGTGTGGCAGGAAGTTTTCTAAGACTCTCAAGTAAGAGATGAGTTATATAGATCTGCCTCAGTTTCCACACTTGGAAAAAAGAAAAGTATGAAAGGTGGTAATCAACACATTATCCAGGAATGACAGTGTATGCAGTGTTCAATACCCATAATGTCCCATCTTTTCGAAGAAGGAAGAAAGGTGCATCTTTCCTCCTCTTTTTTTTTTTGTGACCAAGCTTGATCATTATAATTATATAGTCTTCTGGTTTTTTTTATTATTGTTATTGTTCTTTCAATGTATATTATAGTAATAGTGGGTACTTTTTTACTTTGGATCAGTTCATATAAGTCCTCTCATGTTTCTCTATATAAGAAGTGATTTATATTACAGATTTCTTCCTTATATTCAGCAAAGTGTATCTCTAGGTCTTTCTTGTGGGAAAACTTTGTTAGTCTATTCTAGTTAGCACATATACTTTCAAGTGACAAAGCTTCATTCTCTCTCTCTCTCCCATCATTATTTATTTATTTACTAATTCTGACCAACTTTCCTCTCCTAAATTCATATGAATTATTGAGGTTTTACTGTGTAGGTATCATTCCTTGTAAGTAAATTTGATAAAATTTGATAATAGAACCTTTTGGGGCTTCCACAATTGCTCTGTATTGTATTTTTAGTAGGATGGTGACAAATTGGAGTATCCCAGAGGAACATAACCAGATTGATGAAGGGACTTGAGACTGTGCCATATGAGGATCAGTTGAAGTCATTGGGAATGTTTAGACTGGAGAAGAAAAGAATCAGTCTTCAAGTATCTGAAGGGTTGTCAGGCTACATTTGTTCTGTTTGGCCCTAGAGAGTAGAATTAGGAACAGCAGTTTCAGAGAGGCAGATTAAAATTTGATGTCAGCTGGAATGTCTTAACAATTAAAATTATCTTAAAGTGGAGAGGGCTGCTTGGGAAGACCCACTAGAAAGCTTTAAGCAAAGGTTAGGTGACTGCTTATTGGGGACATTACAGGAAGTCATTATAGTATAATGGATAGAGTTCAGGGTGAAATCAGAAAGTATGTGGGTTCAAATCTTTCCTTAGATGCTTCCTAGCTATTAGATTCTGTGCAAGTCATTCAACCTCTCTGAGACACAGCTTCTTCATTTGTAAATGGGAATAGTTATAACTTTATAACTTTAACCTAAGTGAGTATTGAACCCAGTGCTACATGAACTAAGACTTTTGCAGCTTATAAATCAACTAGCCACAGAATTGGGATGAAAAAGAAGAGTAAGTTATAGCAGATAGGAACCACAAAATCTACAAATATTTATTAAGAGCCTATGAAAACTGTGCTGAGCATCATAAAAGATTTAAATATGAGTAAGACTACCCCCCCATTATGGCCTTGTTGAGAGATCAGACTATTGACTCACCAGGTATTCATAAAATACTTATTATATGTAAGGCATTGGCGATACAGAGACACAAAGGACAAATCTCTTACTCTCAAGTAGCTTCCCTTAAGGGAGGGAGGGGGGAGGAAAGAAATAAAACATATACACAAATAAGTATGATACAAAAAAGTAAAAAAAAAATTAAATTCTCAAATGGGTT